GACAGACTAATGATTTGTGAATTGTTCATATGCACGTTATACTTCAATAAAAAGTCTGACTTTTTAAAACCCTCTTTTTTACCCAGCCTCTTCTACTGCCAGGAAACACCACATACATCTGTGAAATACAGATTTTTTTCCTTTAGTTTCATTTTGATGTTTCTAGTCCCAAATTCAGCATTAAAGAAACTCAGAGATCAATTCTCTGCACCACACTGAGGTAGGTATGAGTTTGGCTCTGCCATCACTATTTAGCCGTTTTAAAATTAGTCCCCAAGGTCAGTTTTCTTATCTTCTTCCAACTCCTTCAGAAAACTGCTAGTGACGTTGACTCTAGACAATTGCACAACCCTTTTATTGTCAGTTCTGGAATGAAGACTTTTATGTATCACTAGCTGTGTGCATGTATAGTGAGGTAAAATTAATATCCTCTGTGTTGTTTAGTCTATATTCCATTGGCCAGCTGCCTAGAATGACTAAGGAAACTGCCTGAAAAGTTACCCGCTCCTCCTCAAAAGGAAAAAAGAAAGCGCAAACTCTGGAATTACTTTTACCAGAGGGAAACTTAACAAATGATTATAAAAATAAACTGGAAAAAGAAAAAGGAGTTCTCATACTAGGAGATTCTTTATTGCACAAAAGGAGAAGTACTTCATTCAGACATCGTTGTAGTCAGGCCAGTGCTCTGATGATTTACAAACTGAGGCATGATATTCACAAGCAATGTTTGTGTCACTTCAAATCTTAATGCAGAGTTAGCTATAGACCTTGGGTTACATTCTACAGCGTCTCCGATAATATTGATGACACCAAGAATATTAAGACAACTTTCTGAAAATGCATGAATACCCCTCCTATTTAACTGAGTTTTAGAAAGACTTTGATCCTGCTATATACTGCAACATAGTTCATTTTAAATTAACTTTAAGCATTGTGTGTGTATGTGTGTGTGTGTGTGTGTATGCCCAGGTGTGTGCAAACCCAATTATTAAATGTCAAGGAGAAGAGTTAAAATGTATGTTTCCCCCCCATAAATTGTTTTAGATCATTCCAGCAACTGAGGACCAACAATTTCCTTTTCTGCTGATGTCCTATATAATTTTCAATGGCCTAAATTTTCTTCTTTTGGGAAGCGAAATTTTTTTATCCTGTAGGAGAAAAGAATCCTCCTTGATGTTTGGAAGGACATTACACACGTTTTGTAACTTTATATTTTCTGACTGTTGGCTGCAGTTTTGTTGTTAGAGAGAACTACAGGCCTCCTTTATCCAAGATGCTTAGGGACATCTTTGAAATAAAGTCAGCGATGCAACAAGCTTAGTGCAAATCTTAGTGCGAGCTGCTTTAATGACAGGTGCAGTTTAGGAAGCATACAGCTTAAAGGAAGAAGGTAAAATTATTAAGCCCGCAAGTGCAGCAAACAAATAAATGCCTGTTTTTCACAATGAATGAAGTTTAGGTTTGTAAATGCCAATGTTGAGATGAGATATTTCTCTCAGGCTGAAGCCAAACGTCTCTGACATTAAACACTATAAATTCCCTGCTTACTCAGGCAAGATGTTGGGTATATCGTGTATGAAACAATAGCAACAAATTCTTGCCTTTCCTCTCTCTAGCTAGCCCTTCTGACGTTCCAGTCTGATTTTTATCTGGAAACGTTTATCTGATGGCTTTTTCAATACTTTCCCAATATTAAAAACACTTTGTTCTCTGCTGGTTTCTTCATTCTGGTTCTCCAGATTGTTTCTGATCTCCTGTCCAGAAGGATCTCTGTCTTTCTCTCCTTTCTCCAGAGATCACCCTACCAGTTGAGGACAGATTCTTGTCCTTCTTTCCATTTGGAAACACCTTTCTGATCTGCTGCCCTCTCAGCTTTTCACAGCCTGGTCCTCCTTTGTGGCCTTTCAGGATGTATTGAAAAATAGTGTTATCCAACATTTGCTCTGATGCCAGGCTGCCTGCATTCAAATCCTGGTCCCTCTACCATATTGAAGGCAACTTCATACAAGTTATTTGACCTCTCTCTGCCTCATTTTCCTCACCTGCGAAGCAAGGCTAATGATATCACATATCTTGGGTGTTTTAGTGGATTCAATGAAACAATACACGCAAAGAGCTCAGAATGGTGTGGGGATATAGCGAGTAGCCAGTGAACATTATTCTTAATCATATGATTACCTTGGTCAATAATCCAGGAGCACTCAAGCTTGAACTCTGTGAATATAATGAAATCTGACCGTAAGTTTACATAAGCACAGTAAAAATCACATCGGGAAAATTACAGAGTAAGACGATATGGAAGGAAAGTTCAGCAAGTCCTGGAGTGGCCAAAGTCTAAGAGAAGGTAAGGAAGAATAAAGGTGATCCCGACTGCTTTCTATCCTCTTCAATATCGACATCTTATACTAAAATTAGTCATTACTCAGGGTTTCCCTTCAGGAGTACAAGGTACAATGGGAAAAAGGAAAACCATAGAGTCAGTGGAACCAGAGTCTCAATCAAGTTTCTTGCCTGCTCTGTGATAAAGTAAAATTAAATTAAATTAAATTAAATTAAAAATAATAAAATTATTTTGTCATGTTATTCTGAGAATTATCTGTAATAACTCAAAAAAAATCCTCATGTCCTACAGACTCCCACTCCATTCAACATTCATTCACCACAGACTCTAATTTTTCCTTTTTTTTTTGGTGAGGAAGATGGGCCCTGAGCTAACATCTGAGCCAATCTTCCTCTATTTTATATTTGGGATGCCACCACAGCATCACTTGACCAGCGGTATGTAGGTCCTCACTCTGGATCCAAAACTGCCAAACCTAGGTCACTGAAGCAGAGCATACAAACCCAACCACTACACCACTGGCCCAGCTCCACCAGACTCTAATTTTAAAGGGTCACTAGGATGTCTCTTCCCTTGACACCGTGGGGTTTCCACTATCATCCTGGTAAAGGGGATTGCTTTAGGGAGGAGGTTTCAAGCCATGCTAATGAATTTAAATTCACTAACTTTGGGAATAGAGACAGCTACTTTCCCACTGTGGTCAAGAAATGTTTGTTGTCATTTTGCCACCACAGTGGAAGGGATGCGGGCTGCCTTAAAAGCAGTTAGAAGGGACAATACCACAGCCAAGAAAGTCAGGGAGAGACAGAACCGGGGTGACATTTGTAAAATTAATTAAAGAAGTTTGCAGGCCATTAGGCTGAGGTGGCTCTATGCCGTGGGGGCTACATAAGCAAAACAAAGTCTAAGCCTGTAAATGCCTCAAGGTGATGAAATCAAAACGCTAAGGGCAACCAATCACGAACAGCCAATTGGGCTTTAAGCTACAGCCAATCAAGTAACTTGCTTTCCTCGCTTCCACACTTTTTCTGTATAAGTATTTCCCTGGTTCCCATCAGAGGAGCGCTCCTAACCACTGCCAGTTTGATGCTGCCCAATGGGAATCCATTTTTGCTCAAATAAACTCTTAAAAACTTTAATATGGTTCAGTTTATCTTTTAACACATTGTTTAAGTCTTTTAATCTAACCATAAATGAAGAAAGACCCAGCTGAAATTTGCCGATATGTATGCCAGAAATTCTCCCTTTCTTTCAACAATTTTAGATTGGATTTCTCTCTTTCACTCAAAGAGTTTTACCTAATAAAAAGACCTACTGATAAAAATGTAAAGCTTTCCTTGCTCCTGCTCGCTCTCTAAACCTGGTTATCACATCTCTCTGAAGTTTATAGGATTCCCTTTGCAGCAAGGTTCCTCCCCTATTCTGTGATGTGGCTGATTTATTCTCAGTGACACCCTATAACTAACCTATAACTATGCCACCTCTTGTTACTTATCTCCAGGTAGAGGGGGAGAAGCCATTGCTCACAAAAAGCGTGGTGATGGTTTAGGAAGGAGGGGTGCAGCAGGATCTAAATCAAATGTGTACTTCTCATCAATGCCTTAAAAGTATACTATCGGGGCTGGTCCGGTAGCGTAGTGGTTGGGTTTGCGCGTTCTGCTTTGGTAGCCCATGGTTTGTGAGTTTGGATCCCAGGCACAGACCTACACACTGCTCACCAAGCTGTGCTGTGTCAGCATCCCACATGCAAAATGGAGGAAGATTGGCACAGATGTTAGCTCAGGGCCAATCTTCCTCATCAAAAAAAAAAAAAAAAAATTACACTACCCATCTAGATCTCTTCTCTTTTGTCTGTTGTCCCCTTCCCATACATACGTGCTTCAGCAGGGTGCAAAAACTAGTAAGATTTAGTCAATAAGGAATAAAAGGAGCCAGCACCCTAAGTTGTACATGAATGTTTTCCTAATGACACTTGAGAAATAAAGTCAAAGTAGCCAGAACATGTTCTTGAACATGAAGTAAAATGAAAAACACAAAACAAAATACACAAACAAAAGCAGTGAGCTAATCATTTGAATCAGAGTTTATGCTCTGAAGAAATGATAGGTTTCAGAAAATGGTATTCCAGAACAAGGAGATCCAAACAGATTTTCCTGAATTTTTCTCTGTATTATAATAGTTAGATTCACATTCTTACTCCACAGCTTTAAGGCTAGATAACCTAGATCGTGTCTCCAGGCATCAATTCAACGTATCTTCTAACGTGCTCCCACGGACTTAGCACAAGGCATTGCACTTAGAAGGATGTAAATTAGTACATTTAGTAAATTAGTACATATTTTCATGAGTGAAAGTATAAATAGATTCTTATGGTGATTATTCTCTCCTTAAAAATGATAACCCTCTCTTAATGTTTTTTTTATGTGTCTCACCGTCTGTTGTTTCACAAATAGATTTTCCTACTCGTAACTATTCAATCTGCCAGGACAATCTCTGACCTGCTTCTCTGATTAAATCTGTTCTTATGACATAGACGTCTATCCAGAGATATTTCGGTCAAAAAGCATAATTTTATCATAAAGTTGATATGTAGTCGTCCACGTATCTTTGCCCTATTTTAGTACAAAAAAAAACAAGGAAAGAACAATGCTTACGCATACAAGTATTGTAATTGATAAAATGTGGCATTTAGCCTGACCCTAATTGGTTTCATTGATCCTAAACTTGACCAACTTCTTTCTTCTCTGGATATATCAAGAAATACATGGTTCTCTGACATCAAATGCAAAGAAGTTCCTGGCACCTTCCATCACTAGAGAGAGAAAAAATAAATAAAAAGTGATTTGCTACATTCTAACAAAGAAAAGCTTAAACAGAATATGATATAACACCAAGGAGAATGTAACACCATTTTCTACATGACCCAAATATCCCACTTCCTTTTTCACTCAGAAAATGATGAATTTGGGGCCAGCCCAGTAGTGCAACGGTTAAGTTCACATGTTCTGCTTCTCAGTGGCCTGGGGTTCGCTGGCTCGGATCCCAGGTACGGACATGGCACCGCTTGGCAAAAGCCATGTTGTGGTATGCGTTCTATATATAAAGTAGAGGAAGATGGGCATGGATGTTAGCTCAGGGCCAGTCTTCCTCAGCAAAAAGAGGAGGATTGGCAGCAGTTAGGTGAGGGTTAATCTTCCTCAAAAAAAAAAATGATGAATTTTACAATTCATGTCTTTTCTCATATTTGTATGTACTTTGCTTCTGTCATCTGGCCCCAATTTGCTAAAATGCTAAAATAAAATATACCTTACCTTTTTCCCCAAAATATTCTTACTGTAAAAGTGACAGGAAAGAGTCAAGATGCTTTGAGTATCCGTTTAATTCAGTGGTTACATTTTAAAGGGATTGGAAAGGGTTTTTTTTTTAAGGCGGTTTAAGATGCTCAAATTGGTTCTGGTCCTGGTCTCGGTTTTGCCACTTAATCTTTGTATAATCTATTTTCAGCCTTAATCTATTGCATACTCTAATGTCTAACACTAACCAAGTCCATTTGCTTCTTTGGCCTTCTGTTTCCCCATCCAACACATGAAGCATTTCTGAAATTTCCCTCTCGCCCTATCTCTCTATGACTCTGAAATTTCAGGGAAAAAAATTGTACTCCATCTTTTTTAAAAAATTGGTCATTTAAATAAGAAAAAACAGGCCGTGCCGTTTGACCTTAGTTAATCCTACTAATATGAAAAATCAATCTAGCCGAAAGTAATAATCCAAATGAAAGCAACAACTTAACATTCACACAGATGTTTACCATATTGCTTTTTATAAATCCCCAAATTAGTGGGGAGTAAATGTCTGAGGATAAGGGAACCCTTAATCAAATTAAGTTCTATCCTCAGTGGGATATTTTGCAGCTGTAAATGATATTTAAGTAACAACATGAAAAATTCTTATGAAATAGTATTAATTGAAAAAAGTAGACTTTCGTATTGTGTGTGCACTGTGATTTCATTGATGTAAAAATGTGCATACATGAGGAAAATGGCTAGAAGGAAACATAGAGATTATTCTGTTAGCATGCTGAGAAATATTTTTTAATAGTCCAAATCTTCTATTATATTGCTTTCATATGAAAAATAGTACAAAGGGGAAAGAAGCCTGGAAAAGAAAAGCTGTTTCCTGAAGGAAGATATTGCTCCCCTGTCTGAGAGGGTATTTTACACCCCTCCAAGGTCTTTTTAATTTTAAACTGATGTAATTTATGAATAACATCCTATAAGTTTAAAGTGTACAATGTGTTGATTTGATATATTTATATATTGCAATATGATTACCATCATAGCATTAGCCAGCACCTCTGCCACATCACATCCTTATCGTTTCTTTTTTTGTGGTGAGAACAATTAAGATCTAGTTCCTCAGCAACTTCGAAGTGTGTACTATAGCATAGTTGACATATTCACTAGGCTGTGTGTGAAAGGACTTCTATCTAAAATGGAACCGGAAGATGGGAAATGAAGAATCTCACGAATACACCCTTAGAAGAACAGAACTTAAATACTGAGAGACTGATTTCTCATAATGTCCAATTTACAGAAAACTGAGACTTATCTGCTAGGAAATGAACATCCACCAAGAATCGCTCTCCATCCTCAAGCCAATGAACTTATCACTTAGATTCTGGCTGGACTTCCCACTTCTTGCACTCTTTGCCCATAAATACAGACTGCCCCAACCCCTCAACAGACTCACCTATAGCTTGCTACAGCATGCATTTCTGGAATTGCAATCCTCTGCCATTCCTGAACAAACTCAATTTCTGGTAATTCAAGTTTGCCTCAGTTTACCTCTTTATTTATGTTGACGTGTGCGTTAAATCTTCAGGACTCATTTATTTACCAGTTGCAAGTTTGTACCCTTAAACAATATCTCCCCAATTCCTCCACCCCCCAGCCCGTGGTAACCACCATTCTACTCTCTGTTTACATAAGTTCAGCTTTTTTGGATTCTACATGTAAACGATATCCCAGAGTATTTGTCTTTCTCTGTCTGACTTATCTCACTTAGCATAATGCCCTAAAGGTCCATCTATGTTATAGCAAATGGCAGTATTTCCTTCTTTCCTCCAGTTGAATAATGTTTCATTTTATATATATATATATACACCCTATCTTCTTTATCCATTCTTCTGTTGACAGACCTTGGTTTTGTGAATAATGCTGCAAGGAACATGGGATACAGATACCTCTTTGAGATACTGATTTCAATTCCTTTGGATATATATCCAGGAGTGAGATTGCTGGATCATGTGATAGTTCAATTTTTAATTTTTTGAGGAACCATCATACTGTTTCCAATAATGGCTGTACATTTTACATTCCCACCAACAGAGTATAAGGGTTCCTTTTTCTCTGCATTTTCACCAACATTTGTTATCTTTTGTCTTTTTGATAACAGCCTTCCTAACAGGTGTGGAGTGATATCTCGATGTGGTTTTGGTTTGTATTTCCCTGCTGATTAATGTTGAGCATCTTTTATATACCTATTGGCCATTTGTATTTTTTTTTTAAAATGTCTATCCAGGTCCTTTGTCCATTTCTTAATTGGATTACTTGCCTTTTTGTTATTGAGTTGTATAAGTTATTTACATATTTTGGATATTAATTCCTTATCAGATATATGGTTGGCAAATATTTTCTCCCATTCTGTACAATGCTTTTTCAATTTATTGATTATTTTCTTCGCTGTGTAGAAGCTCTTTAGATTAATGTAGTCCCACTTGATTATTTTAGTTTTTGTTGCCTGTGCTTTTGGTGTCTTATCCAAGAAACCATTGCCAAGAGCAATGTCAAGGATCTTTTCCCCCTACGTTTCATCTAGAAGTTTCATGGTTTCAGGTCTTACATTTAACTCTTTGATCCATTTCAAGTTAATTTTTGTGAGTGGTGTAAGAGAGGGATCTGGTCTCATTCTCTTGCATGTGGATATCCAGTTTTCCCAACACCATTCACTGAAGATACTGTTATTTCCCCATTGTATGTTCTTGACATTCTTGTCAAAATTTGGTTGATTATATATGCATGAGTTTACATCTAGGCTCTCTATTCTGTTCCCCAGGTCGATGTGCCTGTTTCTACAGCAGTACTGATACATGTTATAACATGTGTCATAACTGACTCATGTTTTGATACATAACTGATACATATTATAATATGATATGTTATAATATGGTACATTGATACAGGGTATAATATGGATGAACTTTAAAAACATTCTACTATGTGAAAGAAATGAGTCACAAAAGACATAGTGTATGATTCCATTTATATGAAATGTCCAGAATAGGCAAATCTATATATAGAGAAAGTAAATTAGTGATTGCCTAAGGTGAGGGGAGGGAGGTTTAAGGTGGAGGGAAGAGAGACTGCTAACAGGTACAGGGTTTCTTTTAGAGGTGATGAAAATGTTCTAAATTTAGATTGTGGTGAATGCTGCACAACCCTGTGAGTTTACTAAAAACCATTGAATGGGACACTTTAAATGGATTATTTATATAATATGCAAATTATATCTCAATAATGATGCTTTAGACATTTAATTCAACATATACAATCATTCTGAAACTTAGATTCCACTAGATATTTTTTAAAGAGTGATGCAATATTTTGTGTCAATTTTATAGCGTGTTAGATATTACATCTTTTGCAACTAAGTAAACTTAAGATGAAAATGTTTAGATGTCAGTTTAGAAATCTGTGAGTCAGTAAAGAATTTTCCCAAAATTCTTTTGGAAGATGTGCCAGCAAAACAGTGTGAATGCTACCTGATTAAAGGAAGTTCAGTTAAAGAGTGATTATAGTCATTCACGGGAAAAGTGATTAGCACTTCCACTGAGACAATTGCTGTGGGAAAAGGAAGGTAAATATTTATTCATTCATCCATAAACTCTTAAAAGTAAGTCCTCAAGAAATGTTTGTTAAATAAACCTTGGGAAAGGTTGATGATGTCTGAGGCATCTTCATAGTATCTGGCTCATGATCCTACACAGAGTAATTACCTCAGGAAAAATCATTTCACCTTTGGAGCAGAAATGAAATGTGTAGATTTTTTAAAAAATCTCAGACTTTCCCTCTAGTCAACGTATTTGCCCTTTTTGTCTTAGCAATCTTTGCACAGCGTTCCCCAACAAGTTGCAAAGAGGACTGTTTAAAGATGGTTGTGGGGCTGGCCCAGTGGTGTAGGGGTTAAGTTGTGCACTCAGCTTCAGCGGGCCAGGGTTCACCAGTTCAGATCCCGGGCACGGACCTACACACTATTTATCAAGCCATGCTGTGCTGGCATCTCACAAAGAAGAGCTAGAAAGACTTACAACTATGAATATACAGCTATGTACTGGGCTTTGGGGAGAAAAGAAAAACGAGGAAGATTGGTAACAGATGTTAGCTTAGGGACAATCTTCCTCACCAAAAAAGGCATACCTTAAAGATGATCATTTTCTGTCAGGCAGGATGTGGATGAGAAGGAAAAGGATCTAAAAGGGAAGTGACTGGATTGTGGCTCTACTTAGATCATTTCTAGATTGAATGAGTCAGTCCTCCAATAATGGAGACCCTGTAGGAAGAGGATTTCTTTTAGAAGAGAATGGAAGAGATCCTTGTTATAATCACTTCCTCTCCTGTCAGTCACGGGAAAACCAATGGAATTCCTGACTGCCCAGCGCCTACCTTTCCAAATGTAAGTCAGTGAGAAAGCTCTGTTCTTCAAGAAAGCATGTCAGAAGACGTTTGTTTAGGAAGAAAACGATCACAGGGAATAGGGGCTGGATGTTGCCTTCTTAACGTATAAGTCAGCTCAGCAAATCTATGATTTTGATGTAATGCATGTTTGCATATCAATCGGTCATGGATAGCAATTGTAAGTTTTAACATTTGAGACTTCACGTGGAAGACTTAGCATTTATTCCATGAATTACTCCACAATTTATTTCATGAGTGAAGGAAGGTTGCTATTTTAGGCGAAATGTATGGTAAAGACTGGAAGAATTCCTGTCCCATTCTCCTGATCACTTCCTATAGGTTTCTAAAAATCCCATCATAAGAGAACCATCCCTTTCTGTTAAAGAATAAGGCAACACATCTTGAAGCTTTAGCTTTACAAAGCCGTGGGAGCTAGTAACTCATCAAGTGTCCCATAGTCATTAACACTTTATGACGCTAATCAATCTATCAACTCCTAACCACCAAGCAGATAGTTCATTCCTGGGCCCTGCCTGCCAGGAGTTTACAGTGTAATGGCAGAGAAGAAAAGGCTTAGAAAGCTGACTACGACTATATAAACCCCTTCTTAAGAGAATCAAATACGTGGGGCAAACAATAAGAGGTGCTTTATCAATGCTGCTCTCTCGTGTGAGTTATCAGTTATTGCCTCTATCTGGAAACATGCATAAATTTCTCCCACCTAAACAAATAAATAACAACAACAAAAAATTCTCCTAGGACACTGCAATCTCCTCCGGTACCATTTCACCATCACTTTACAGCATTAAGCATATAGTCCCATCCTTGAGAATGTCATCTCTAATTCCCTTCAAACCATTTTCTCTGAAAATCCTTATAGTCGGACTATCCAGCCCCCTCCATGCCACCAAAATATCCAGTGACCTCCACAGCACTGAATCCAATTGCCAATGATGCGTATTTAGATTATTTTATCTATTAGCAGTGTTTGGCAGAGTAATTACTCTCTCCTCCTTGAAATATTTTCTTAAGGTAACTTTCCAGGAAACCACTCTCTTAGTTTTCCTCTTAGCTCATAACTATTCTTGGTTTCCTTTTTTTAGATCATCCTTATCTTGTAGATCACTAAACATTGAACGCTTTAGGCTTAAACCTATGATTACGCATGTTCTCGCCGCTTTACTTCCTGGAAGATCTCATCTAGTTTTATGGCTTTCATTCCCACTATTTGCTGACAACTCCCAAATTTACATGTCCAACAAAACTTAGTGTGCTCAGAACCAAACTCTGAATCTTCTCCCCCAAATCTGCCCTGAATCATCCTTTCACTTGCTCAGGCTAAATATCTTGAGTCATTCATGTTTGACTCCTGTCATGTTCTCACAGCCCATTTCCAATGTTCAATAAATCTATAAATCTTTCAATTTATAAAATTTATTCAATCTTTCAATTTAACCCATAAATTTTTACAAAGAGGACTAAATAAAATCTATTTCATTAACTAGATTAAAGTCTATATATGTAGAGAATCAGAAAACTAAATAAGCAATTACAACACAGTGAGTCAGTGTTATGTCAGATGCGTTAGTTATGATTAGGTTTGCTTGCATTTAAGCAAAGAGCCAGTACAGCTTTTAAAAGATAGAAATTTATTTCTTTCTCATGTAAATAAAAAAACCTAGCAGTAAAATAGCCCAGGTGATATTGGCATCTTTGCAAAGTTCTCAGGGATCAAGGCTCCTTCTGGTTTTCTGCTCTGCTATCCTTAGTGCGTGACTTCCATCCTCAGGGTCGACTTATGGTCCAAGATAGCTCTTGGGTGCATAGCAGTGCATCTACGTTCTGGCCATCTTGAGACGGAAAATGAAAAGTGAAAATGATGCGGGCTTAGTGAATCGAGGAGTCGAAGGGAGGATTTCTTGGACTCTCAAGTTCTGGCAGTAGTGCTCTTTTATTCAGAGAATAGCATGGAGTAGCATGGGGACAGGACCCATGGGCAGGAAGAGCCACAGGCATGGAGTCAGGACCCATGGGCAGTAAGAGCTGCTGGCATGGGGACAGGAGCCATGGGCAGGAAGAGCTGCAGGCATGGGGACAGGACACATGGGCAGTAAGAGCTGCTGGCATGGGGACAGGAGCCATGGGCAGGAAGAGCTGCAGGCATGGGGACAGGAGCCATGGGCAGGAAAAGCTGCAATGTTTTGATGGCTAGAGCTAAATTTATAAGGCATAGGTATGTAAGTTATTTCTTTACAAGACAAAGGAAAGATCATGAAAAAAATCGTTAAAATAGTATCAGTGCAGGTGGGGTCTGGTTATTTGGTGGTCCTATAACTTTAGATAAGAATCAGATTGGATCAAGTCAGGATGTCCTGTGCTTCCTGGAGGATGATATAGATCAGCATGTAGGGCAGGACGCCTTGGACTTCTCTCCCTGGGGCAGCCTTGATCCTCATCAAAAAGAGAACTTCCCCTAGCCTAGTCAGCTCCCTTTAAGCAGCTTTCCAGAAGTCCCACACAGTACTTACACTTACATTTTATTGGCCAGAAACTAGTTACATGGCCACATCTAGCCCAAAGGATGATGAGAAATGTATTACTCTAGTGTGTACAGCATTATCCCAAATAAAATTGGGGTTTTCTTGCTAAGAAGAAGGAGAGACTGGATATTGCTTGGTGATAGTCATTCTTTGCCACGAATACAGAGTGTTATCAGTGTCCAGATGAGGAGTCATAACCCCACGCTTGGGAGGCCAGAGAAAGATTCCAAGAGCATATGATTTCTGCACTCATCCCAGTTTGCCCTGATTTAGAATAACTTGTGCACATATCTGTCTTGCCACTGGACTGCGAGCCCTGGGAGAGCAGGCACTCTGTCCCCTGCATATTTGTCACCCCTGACGTGGGAGCTTTTCACATGGCAGATCCTCAACATATTTTCAGTGAATTTGAGAGGAAGGTGGTGAAGTTTTTGAAGAGGAAGAGGGGACGGTCTGTCGGCTTTGCTAGAACTTTCATTATCTTTCATCTTCACACACACAAAAAATACCTCAGGCCTTATATCACAAAGGCAGCTTATATAAATAATTCTTTGTAACATTTGTAACCTTGTAACCTGTAAAAGGTCCTCTTACTAATGGCTGATCCAGTTTTTACTCATCTCAATGGACAGAACTTCCCCTCCTCCCCAACTTCCACCTTACTCCCGCCCTGGAGTTCCAACCTTGGCCAAGAGTCTAAACGACCCGCCAATTTCAAAATCAGCCTAGGTCACAGGCTTTATGTGAGTAAGCAACAGTGACTCAGGGTTGCAAAGACCATGACTTGCCATCCTTTCTCAGAACACAGCTCTTCGAATAGGTATGACTATGAAACCAACGTTTGGACACAGATCATTACATAACTGATGCCCAGATGAATCACTATAGCTATTTTTGGATTTATGAGGTCAACTAAAGTTGAACATGGCAATTGCTGCTTTAAAGAATCTAAAATCCAAACTAAGACAAATCCCGATGACGGGGGGAAATTTAAGAAGCAGCTGCTAACACACCTTCTCTTATTTCATCCCATTTGTTTTAGCTGGTTTGAGATTACGCACAGAAAGAATGCCTCTGTGAGATGACTACTGATTTACCCAGAAATGAAACTCAAGCTCTAACAGCTAGTTACCTTCCTGTTTCGTTTCGTATTCTGTTACTAAGAAATCACTGTGTATGCACATGTTAATTACAGCAAAGCTGATGGAAACTTGGCTGCCATGTCTAGACACTGGCTGAGCCTGGATCTGGCTGGAGACCTGGTCCAGCTTGAACCTAGATTAAATATTGACCCTCTGAATTGCCTCTTCCCATTTTCCAGTTCGGAGACAGCCTGATTTAGGCATGCCGCCAGTTGCTTCAACTCCGGCATCTCTGCATTATCAGGTGGGTGTGGAGGAGAGAAAGCAGACTACACTCCCTTCAGATTCTGCCTGATAGATATAGAGAGTCATGTTGGAATGTGGATTTCCGAGGATCCCTAAGATGTGCTCTTAAGTGCTCGTCAACAGATGTGCTTCTTAGAACTTTTTCTTATCTCAGGAAAAAGAGATAATTCTCTCTGATATGTTTTCCGGTTTTCACATGTAATGATTTGTGAGGAAGCTATAAAGCCACGAGGTCCAACTTACTGTTTAGGAGAGTAGGATTATCAAAGAGCGCAAATTGATAAGCTCATGAAGTTAGGTACCTGAAAGATAACCAGGAGCTCTTCCTTCATCTCTTCAGCCTGAGCAGCACTTGAAGCGCAGCACCTCAAGGGAGGGAGGGAGAAAAACTACCCTTGCAAACAGGCAAATGCGTCTTTATTGAGTTGGGTCTTCAGAAATCACAGGTCCAGAATCTGAAATTCAGGACTCTCAGTCAGTTGGGATGTTCAGTCCCATGGGCAACGGACTATGAAAGCTAAAGTCAAAGCATCGCAGAGCTGGACAGATATTACATTCCTAATCCAACACTCTTGTATTACCCATAACGAAGCCAAGACTTGGAGAGGTAAAGTCAGAAGTTCAAAACCTAGTGCCGGTACAACGATGTGTTCACAAATGGAGAAGTAGGATGGAGATCTAACAGCTATGTCAATATCTCAGTAAACTTAGTGTTTATTGCCACCTTTAGCAGAAATAAGGCTGCATGGTAACTGGAACATAATTTATTTGCTTTTGACTGGAATTACATCAGTTCAGTGTAGTCCACTAGTTTCTCACGGTAAAATGAAATTACAGTGTCTAATGAATGCAATATGGCCTAAAGGAAAGAGTATGAGTTTAATCCTAGCTTTATTAATCTTTAGTAAACTGGACAAATTACTTAAACTCTCTGAGCCACAGCTTTTTCATCTATAAAACAGAGATAATTCTCACCTTACAGGGTTGACCAAAGGATTCCGGATAATGCATAGAAAGGATCCAACAGTGTTTGGCACTGTTTGTGTTCAATAAATAGTATTATTATCATTGTCATTATTAAATATCAGGAAGACAAATTGTTAACTTTAAGTTAGAGGGCAGCTCTCATTGAATCGTCTCTACAGGTAGTCAAACGACTCATTGCCAATTTTTGCAGGGAAATTTCTTTTCTGTTTATAAGCAGTCCCAGCTTTCCTACCTGGGAGCTCATATTCAAGCCTTTGCTTAAGTTCTTGAACCTCCCCAGGAAGTACTCCCCAAACCTGCTTGTCCTGAATTACACTGCGTTCTTGGATACACTTCCATCCCACATACATTTGTTGTGTTCCGAATGTTTCCGGGGTTGCCATGGTTTCTAATAGTCAATTCTAATCTGCAGGAGAATGGTTGAACTGAGAGGTTACCAGTTAAAGGAAAGGAAGAGAAATGGTCGTGTCAAGGTTTCGTATGCTGTGGTCTCAAATTACCCGTCAAACCTTCTATTTTCCTTATTTATAAAATGGGATCATTATACCTACTTCACAAGTTTGTTGTAAGAATGACGTGGACTAATGCATGTTGAAACATGTAGCTTGCAATACACCAGGTGTCTAATGCACATAGTTCTTTCTTTGTCCCCCAGGATGTCCCATCCTCAACATTACAATCCTACCAGTCTGGTTAGCTCACCCTGTCCTTGACACACTAACATCTTTACCTCTTTCCTCAGCTCTCTTCTCAGAAAGTTCTCCTTCTTTCTCTTCTTTTTAACCACTTAATTCCATGTAATTGTAGCAAAGAGTAAGGGGGCTTTTCTAACTGGCTTTTTATTACTGACTTTATTACTCCATCTAAACTGAGCTGCTGAAACCTTTTGAGGAATAAGAAAAGGTCTCAGAGAGGATGGACTGTGTCACTCTCAGTTGTGTATGTAACCCCAGTGCTGGGCAAAGAGTCTGGCATGGAATGAGCACTACATATCAGGAGTCGGGCATATGGTTCCAGAACCTGAATTTGCAATCTAAACTTTTCTTGCTATCTTTGGACTTCAGGGGAGTTACTTAACCTTTTTCAGCTCTATTTTCTCATCTGGAAAATGGAGATAACAACAGCACTCTCTTCAGTATTCTGTTGAGGATAAAATGTAAAATGCGTCTATTCAGTGTTCAATACATTTTACATATTATTGACAGCTGTAACTAAATAACTATTCAAGTATCACATGGAGATAAAATAATTACAAAGTATGCATAAGTAGTTTGATATTATTTAACCTGTAGATCAAGAATTAGATGAGCTAGGGCTTCAGGACCCTCTGATTCTTTTTTACAAAAGGGCACCCCGGTCAAACCACACTCTGCTTTGCCCGCCCCCAAAGTGTCCTTTGTGCTGCAAATACAACACCTTTGTTCACATGCTTCATTCTATTTCGAATGCCTCTTCCTTTCCTCAGGACTGGCCCTGTGCCAAGAGGTTAAAGTTCTCTGCTTCCATAGCCTGGGTTTTCGGGTTTAGATCCTGGTTCAGACCTACTCCACTCATCAGCCATGCTGTGGAGGAATCCCACACACAAAGTAGAGAAAGATTGGCACAGATGTTAGCTCAGGGAGAATTTTCCTCAAGCAAAAAAAAAAAACGAGGATTGGCAACGGATGTTAGCTCAGGGCAAATCTTCCTCACCAAAAACAAGAAATTCTATCCTCCTTTCAAGATACAAACTGAATGCAGAGACCCCCTGATGTCTGCTTGGATTCTCCCACTGTCTGCCTTTCACAGCCTTCCTTTCTCCTCCTTCCAAATACAACAGGTTACAGTGTCACCATCCTCTGTTACTCCATGGCAACTCGTTCACACCTCCCTGACAGCACTACGTTTAATTGCTTGACTGGCTTCCAGGGGCTTACCTCTATTCGATTACGCACTTCTTGCCAACAGAGTCATCTTCATCTTCTATCTCCCAGTGTAGAGAACATGGCAGGCCTCTGTCCCATTTGATGGAATCACAGTGGATTGATTTAGTTGGAACTGACAACAGTTTGTGAAATCATTTGCCTCTGCTGCTTCTCACGTCCTCGTTAATTTGATGGTTTATTCTAATTACCTCTTACTGGAATTGTGTTGTCAGTTTGGTTTCGTGAGATCCGAAATTAAAACAACAAACAGGAATGAGTAGGGTGGGGCTGCCTTAAGAGTGATTATAAGGGATTTAAAAGCAGTACTGTAGAGACATGCAAATTGGTACCAAGAATCTATCCCCTTTTATTCTCAGAGTTTTGTAAAGTTTCTATCCTTTTCTTTTAGAAAGAGTCAGCCTGATGAATTAAGCACAAGGGTTGGTTTAATCAACAGGCTGACTGGAATATGTATGAACTCCCTAACTCTCTGGATGCTTTTAATTCAGAAAGTGTCTTCTGGAAGAGCCCAGCCTTATCCATAGGTTCAGTTTTGAAAGCAAGCAGAATGAAAAGAAGGCTGCATTGTTCACATGTGTTTGAGTTTACATGCACTTAAAAGTTTTTTAAAGGGCTTTTTTAAAAGAGCTTTTAATATGATAATCATTTTTTAGAAAAGCAATACTTAAAATGCTTAATGATAAAAAAAAAAACTTAGGAAAAGGCTCTCCCACCACATTTCTAAAAAGTATTTGTACATTGAAAATATCTCAATGCACATGGGTATCATATTTTAAATTTTTTCTTGAAAAATATATTGACCTCTTCCTGATTTTTAATTGCCCTTAAAGCAAATAAATACTCTTACTCATTCCATACAAGGTAGTATTTTAAAATTATATATCAATTCTCATAAAATACATTTTACAGTGGAAAATTATGAGCCACATTAAAATTATGCAAATAATTGTAAATGAATTCATTACACTTTGAAAATGCCACAGGTTTTGAAGGCAGGTGGATGGCCTAAGTCTGTGGCCTCTCCATCACTGTGGGTCTTCGGACATGTTCTCAGTCTCCCTAAGCTTCCAGTTCTCTGGGCAAATGTTGGTGCCTCTTTCATAGGGCTAATGTGAGGATTAAAACAGAAAATGCATGTAAAATGGTTAGCATAGTGCCTGACACTTACAAATGCACAATAAACATTTATTTCCGTTAAGAATTATATACTATGTTTGTATTCTGTTTCAAGCGCTGTACCAGGCCATGATGACATAAAGATATGAAAAGGGTCCTGTCTTAATCCTACTTCATTTAGAAGAAACCAAGGAAACTGAAAAAAATTGAAGCTATCTTCTGACTACTAACAGCTGGGAAAACATGGACACTGGAAGCAAATAAAAATCTTTATCTTTCTGAAACTCCAGCTGACCAAAACATTCTATCGATTTTGATACTTAAAAGGCTAGAGATTCTAATTGCCAAAAGAAGTTTGCAGTCGTACATTAATCACATACACAAAACAACATTTTGGTCAATGACAGACTGCATACATGACCGTGGCCCCATGAAATTAGTACCATACAGCCTAAGTGTGTCGTAGGCCATACCATCTAGGTCAGGGTAAGCGCACTCTATGACGTTCGCACAACGACGAGACCACCCAAGGATGCATTTCTCAGAAAGTATGCCCATTGTGAAGTCAAGTGATGCATGACTATATCTTCCAGTTTGGAGCTCAGGGGGCCTGAAGTTGTCAACAAGGAGAGTAGATGCCTTCTTTCTCTGAGTGTGCTGTCCTGGATTGGTGATTTGAACAAGCGGTTTTCTCAGCCTCAACTTGCTTTCTTCTTTGCCTTCAAAGCAACTTCTATTTATCCTTCAAGAGCCAATTCAAAAGTTACCTCTCCTCTGTTTTTTCTATTTGCCCACACACTCTTAGAAGTTTTAATTACACTGTCCTCAGTGTCTCTATTGCACTCCATCATATATCTTTATAACAGTATATAATATTAAATAGTTATAGATTAATATGTTTATTACTTATTCTGTAAACATGAAATTTGGGTTATCACGTCTGACCATGTTAATATGCACATCCTCATTAGATATGTTTTTGGCATTCAGCAAGGAATTTCCTGAGGTACCAGAGGACCAGGTTTTACGTCTATCACTAATTGTATGACCCTGAGTAAGTTACTTAATTTCTGGAACTTAGTTTCTCTAGCTACAAAATGTCAATTTGGACTATATAATCACCAAGATCCTTTTTGGTTGCCAAATTCTATGAGTTTGTAACATCAACTACCTTAAAATGTGCAGTTTTATTCTCCCTTTATTTCAAAAACCAGAAAACCAGAGCTCAGAGAGTTGAAGTGACATCAACAGCATTTAGGACATGGAGCTTGGTGTTTCAGAGAATGGGCTCTAGAGACTGAATGCCTGGGTTTGAATCTTGCCTCCACTGCTTGCTAGCTCTGTGAATTCAGGCAAGTTGTTTAAACATTCTGTGCTTCTTTTATTATCTGTAAAATGCGGAAGATAACAGTATCTATGTGATAGGTACATATAAAGATTCAATTAATTAACATATGTAAAGTGCTAAGAATAGTGCCTGATTCATTGTTGTGAGTGCCAGGGAGTCAATTCCGACTCCTAGCAACATGGTGTACTGCAGAGAGGAACCCTGCCCTGTCTTTTTTTACACCATCCTCTCACCTTCCGGCACTGTTGTCAAACATTGTTCCACTGCTGTTCATATGGTTTTCATGGCCAATTTTTTCAGAAGTGGGTGGTCAGTTCCTTCTTCCTAGTCTGTCTTAGTCTGGAAGATCAGCTGAAATCTGTCCACCTTGGGTGACACAGTTGGTATTTGACATACCGGTGGCATAGCTTTCAGCATCACAGCAACACACAGCCTCCACTGCATCACAACCTACAGATGGGTAGTGTGGTTCCCTGACTGGGAAACAAACTAGAGCTGTGACAGTGAGACAGCCAGATCTTAACCACTAGACCACCAGGGCTGGCTGCCTGATTTGTAAGAAGTATTAAATGTCAGCTCCCATCCTTGCTCAATATCTCACACCAGTTAACAAGACAGAGGGGCCTGGAACCAAGTCTCCTGGCCACACAAACAGTGCTTTTTAAACTGTACCACACACTCTTTAGTATAGTGGTTTAATTAACTATCAACATTTACCCGTACAGAGAGATTGAGTCTGCTATGCATTCTGTACTGGGCTAAGCGCTTTACTACTTTTTCTCTTTAATTCTCCCAACCATCTATATGGTGAGTATTATAGGTCTACAATACCTACCCTGAAATTTCAAAATCAAAGCAGCTCTGAACACTGAAAGTGTTTCATAATTCATTGGATGACTTGACTTGAACTCCTTTGGAGACAAAAATCTAACTTGAATTGATATAAGGTTGTTTACAGGCTTTATTCCATTTAGTGTGAACATTGATATGATTTACCAGAGAAATTTAATATTTTTTATCATGGAGTGCTGTCCCAAATCCCATGAGGATGTTAATATACATTATTAGGTTGTTAGATAATATATAGTGCTTGTACCACGTTGTCTTTTATCATTCAAGGCTTCTAAATTGTATCTTTTTAGAGTGATGGAAATGTTTTATAACTGGATCGTGGTGACAGTTGTATAACTTTATAAATTTACTAAAAATCATTGAATTGTACATTTAAAACAGATGAATATTATAGTATATAAATTATACCTTAATAAAGCTATCTTCAAAAGGCCATTAAAAAAAGAAAAACATATATAATTATTAGGAATAATAAAGTTAATAAAGGAACACCTGTAACCTTTCAAGTTTAACATCACCACTGACCATGGTGTTTAGCGTTTTAGACTGAAGCTGGATTTAGCTGATAAAAGTACCTGAGTAGTATCCATACAGGGTTTGAATCTATAATGACATGTAGGTACTCTAACAGCTTTCACAAAAGAGAAAAGAAACCAGAAAAAATGGACTAAAAAGAATAGCAAAGGGAATTCATGAAAAATTAGTGAAATTGAAGAA